ATCCAAGGCAGTTGACATTTTCAAGCTACAAGCATCCTGCTGGGTGAGCTACATTGAAGAAGCATTATAACTCAAACCGAACATACAGCTACCATTGAAATAGCATCGGACGATTTAACTGATATCTTAGCCAGAGAACTTTAACTGGCTCATTCATTCATGAGCCAGTGTAAAGTCGAGACCAAAGGTGAATAGTGAAGAAGAGAAGAGAAATTTGCTTAGCGACTCGATCTCTGTCAAGGCTTCCGTCGGGTCCCGGCTCGCAGCCTGCTATCATGTTATCAGAAATATCAGTCTTGAAAGTCTTCCTCGGAGCACAGTGAGTTCTGAAACCACGCAGTCTCAGAGCCGTTCGCTTGTCGGACCAGACGGTCAGATGCCTGACCACAGCAGTGCGCTGTATCAGGTCAAGCACACCGAGTGAGCGAGGTCGCAGCGGGTCGTGACTCGGCCCGGTCGCACGGTCCGCGCCTGCCAATCTGGCCGGTGACCCTTCAGTCACTGCTGGGAGCCAGCACCCGCCGCCGAGGGCTCACATCGCGTCTGCCCTCAATGGGTTCCCGGTGACTGGCAACTGGCTAATCCGTGGCCAGGGCTGTCTGGGAGAGGGCTTCTGTGCGGTAACTGACGAGCCTGGGGTGTCCCGTGACGCCCGATGGTAGACCTGAGATGCCCGTGAATCGTGATGGCTGATGAGTTAAGGACGGACAGTGGGGTGCTGCTGAGGTTCTGCCGCGGCTGAGCATCCCCGACGCCCCGTTTGAGCGTCCCACGGGAATAGCCGACATACGCCCATCGAATACGAGCATACGGATCACAGGACATCCCCGGCCCTCGATGGATTGCCTGCAACGACGGCTGGGCCAACCGCTGAATGAGCTGCTGGATGGGTCAGAAGAAGGAACAAGGGATCACCGGACTGGTCGCCGGACCGATTAAACGGTCCGATTAAACCGACTGACCAAACTGACAGACCGCACCACTGACTGCCACACGGTTTGCCAGACCGACTACCAAACGGCCACACGAACTGACCGAAACGAAACTGACGAGACAACCGAAGGGCCCTCAGGACTGACCACCGAACAACCCCCTGGTTTGGCTACCACACGGCGCTGCGGACCGACGGCCGTACCGCGGTTCCTCGCGCGTCGTCCGGGGCCGGGTGTCGCCAGATGTCAGCGATGCCATCAGTCTGCGGCTATCTGGCGTCGACAGCAGCACCGCATCGCGGCAGCTCGGCACCCGAGAGGCATTCTGATGGTCGACATTTGCATGTCATGCATTGGCGGAACCTCAGATGGCGGCGATTTCCAGAAACTGGCGGCCGCTCGCGGCTCGGTGGCGATGATTTACGTCCTCGGCAAGGTTTGCAGCTCGGAGGAACATGTGCTAGTAGCTACTGTGGCGCGCCCCGGCAGGTTTTCCCTGCTAGTGTCACCTCCGGAAGTGTGACGACGGTTGCATGTGTTCTTTTATTCAGAGGGCATTGTTTCCAAACAAGAAGAGATTTTCGCCGTCCAGACCAAGGAAAGTGGACAATAGTTTGCCGATCGACCATAACAGGTGGTGTCATGATTCATTAACTGCAGGTTCTAACCGAACATTTATTGTCCAACGTATAGTGAATAACTATTAATCAGAATTGCCTTGAACCATGAGATGTAGCGGCAGTTTCATTCCATTATGTGCATCTCCACATCTTGAGTGATGCAATAAGAAGATAAATCCCCTTTTTAAAGCTGCTGATGGGTCAGGCTGATGGTCAATGTAGCGGACGCTTCTACCCTACATCCGCGAATACCAAGTGAAATAAAGCACTAGAGCTGTACCAAAAGAGAAGCATGGTAACTTTTTCTTATTATGCTGTACCCTCGTCTGGCAGAGAAAGTTCCATAATGGCATTCGGAAGAACTAAAAACGAATGCTGAAAGACCACCTTCCCGAGTGCCTCTCCGAGACTTTGTTAAGCACTAAGAACATTGTCAGTGAATGCAGGACATTGAAGCGCCTGTTAGCATAGCCAGACTAGCATCTGCCACTGAGTTTTCTCGACCTATAAGTGCGCACCGTAAATGCAAATCCACGGGTAATGAGCAGTTTGTTTGGCTGGCTGGCTTTCCCTCCACGTGACATGTGGGCGGTCGGGTCGCTGAAAGTCGGGTCATGTGGTGAAACCCGGGACCATATGTGAAAAGGAGACGACTGGGCGAACACTAAACTCAGGTAGGCTCAGGACTGCTAAATATTTCAGATGACCAGTCGAAATCGTCCTTAGTGCAGAAGGAGGCAAAGGCAGATTTTTTGGAACGTCATCAAACGATGAAAACTAAAATTTCGTATCTGAAAATTTTGTATGGTGGTTGGCACTGGTAAACTCGGTGACTCATTGAGATATTCAGTCAGTCGCAGCAGTTAACCCACCCTGCTGCCTGGTATAAGGTTCCCAGCCCAGCAGCTGTCATCTGTCAGATTTCAGAGTGGTCAGCTGGCATCTGTCAAAACTCCTCGCCCTAATTGCGAACTGCCGGAGGGCCGAGCGCCTAACTACCTGATCGCCGAGACCCGTCTTCTGACAGATAACCTATGCCCAGCTGTCATCTTTTCATTCCCCAGTTGTTATTTATCAACTACAAACCTTGCCCCGGTCCGTACTCGTCAGATCCCCGGTCTCCAAGCTGTCATCAGTCATATCCCGGTCTCCAAACTGTCACCTGTCATATTCCCGCGCCTCTAGCAGTCACCTGGTCCTCAGGTAGCGGGTCTGTCTGACACCTGACCGTCAGGTCGCGCGGCTCTGTCCGTCATCTGACCGTCAGGTGCGGCTCCGTCTGTCACCTGACCGTCAGGTCGCCCGGCCGGCTCTGTCAGCCGGCCGTCGGGCCATCTTCCCACCGTGCCGTGGGCCGCGGTGCGGTAATATGCAAATGGTGCGGCGCCGCGCGGCCCGGCGGCGGCCCGGCCCGGCTAATCGTACGCCCGATTACAGTCATCACGGCACCGCCTCTCCCACGGACTCGACCCTAAGTGCTTTTTAATTTCTTCGATTTTGTGTCACGAATGGCCGACTGGCTGTGTCGCCGGGCGGCCGACCGTGTCACTGCGGCGACCTGCGCTGTGGAGGCTGGAGCTGGTTGGTGGAACGTTGGAGTATGGAAACTGACAGGGCAAAGCCAATGGAAAATGAATAACGTGTTACTGTAGCATGGAAAAGGATCGACATATGTCATCAGATGAGGGAAACTGATTGATGGCTGAACGGAGATGGACCGACAGCTGTCATCGGGTGAAGGGAATAGAGCAGCACGACAAATGTCAGTGGTTAAGATAGCTGTTCGAATATAGACCGAAATTTGGGATGATCTTTAGTCAAATTGTTGATGCTGAGCGCCATGATGTTGAGCGCCATTGCAATCGAACATAAAGGCTGAACAAATGCGACACGGACCTTAGTTTGTCCTTAGGAAATGATGGCTTAATGCAAGCATCGATTGACAGCTACCGTTGTGTTTGAGTGAAAGTAAAAAAGATAACGAAAGGAATTAGGATAGAAAGACATGAGAGGCAACGGTTTCCTTACTTTGCTTTAATACAGGCGACATTGAAGAGGCTTTGGAGGGTTATCACGGGAAAATTAACATAAATCCGGGGAATGTCCACTGGACGAGGGCTAGATTAACACGTATAGCTGTTACTCGCCTTTCGCATGCTTAGTTTGACGTTGATGAAAAGAACAGAACAAGGACCTGTCGGATCCTACACTTCGGAGTCTCCTTTTGGGTGAAGAAACCGACCACAAGAAATAATGTATGCACATATGCCGTTTTATTTCATCATGCTGGGCATTGGCCGTCTACAAGGAACAAGCGGGTAATACCTTCTTTGAGCAAATTCTTTGTTATGCTCACGCTAGGCTTATCAAAGAAGCACGAAAAGAAGTGGTTGACACCTTTCTACTTTGTTCGATGCCGGTCCAGATAGGCCCTTTGACCGGCCGACTGGAGGGTTGATGATGGTGGCACGTGTGGGTACCGCCTGACCGGTACCTATGTACTGACGCCGCATGAGGTCATCCCTGAGACAATGATGCAAACCGTTTATCCTTGAGCTCTTGCGTCAAATGTTGGTGACTTACGGCAATATTATGTGAAAAATCACGACTTTGAAAATACACTTCTGCAAGGACTATGGATTGGCCGCTTGTAAGTGCTTGAAGATCATAAAGCTGAAGTTCAAGCGGTTGAAATGTAAATGAAGTGGTTTAGGGATGCGATCCTTGAGTCTAAAACATTCCCTAAGTGAGCATTTGCTTGGTTTAGCTGAACTTGTTTCCTTTACGAAGTTCCGCGTATTCGATCCGAATAGTTTGCTTCGTAGATAGCACGCATGCGATGTATTTTCAGTGTTGTTGGCGGTGCCCCAAACAAACACCCACTGCAACGGTGGTGACGGGCAGCATGAAAACTAACACATGCAGAGCGAAGCTGAAGTGTCCACTCATAAGGCGTTAATGTAACGGTCACGATTGGAGTTACCCGCCGCTGCGTTTCTCGACATTGAATACGCTTTTGGTGATAGTGTAACATGTGCCGTTGCAGTTTCCACTACACCGGTGTTATTGTTCTATGCAGTACTGCAGTCGCCAGCGAGTCCGGTGATAGTGTGCTAGTGAGCACTGCAGTCACCAGTTATTTCAACGATACCGTGCGATTTACGCTACAATTCACGTCTGTGCGCTCCTCTTTTCCCTTCGTTGATGCTCAGGGTTGACACGGGACCACGATAAGCATCCCTTTGCAAATATTTGGAGGGTGTTCAAGAGTCGTGATAACGCCTTTGTTGCTAAAAACGCCCATGTCTTACTCAGTTTCGCTATATGTTACCAGCATTTAGCGAGACCGCACAGCGTTATCGTATAACTGCATATGGCACATAGCACTGCGTGGTGCTCAGAGCGACTCTCTGGTGACGGTGAAGGTGCTGGAGAATGCCACACTCACCATAGTGTTGGTACACGACCGGATCGTTGGGCGACAGCTCCATCGCCTTGACGAACCACGTCTCGGCTTCCGCAGGACGGCCCTGTGTGGCAGACAGACCCCGGTCAGCATGGGGAACGTCGACTTAATACTGTCGGTGTTCGATTCACAGTAGACACAGAACGTATTGGTATCGGCTTGGCAAAAAACAAGCGTTGACACTTAATGCATAATTACTGTCTAGGTGATTCACAAAAGACAGGTTTTGCGTTACAGTTTCAGTGCGACGCATATCAAGGAAGGCACTAAGAACAAAAACGTTCTAAATTGCGCAGAACCCGTCGGAAATAAGTCCGATAAGCAACAACGCCAGATAAACCGATAGCTAAATGTCGACTGTCAGCATTACAACCTTTGTTTCCGTTGGCGACCTTTTCAGTTGCAGAGTTTCCCATGCTACTGCGCTGTGTTTGTTCAGAAGCTGCAAAGTGAAATCGCGATAACACCGTATGAACCCGGGTATCGGCAACATAACTACAAGATAATCTAGTAGCAGCCTTGACAGCAAAGCGGTGTATTTCGTCAGTTTTGACATAATATGGATGTCGAGTATTTTTACCGCCAGCAGCAGCATCAATCATTTTTTACCACGACAGCCTATATGTGACAATGTTCCGTCCCGGAGGCCGGCCGAAGCACGGCATTGTGTATTTTTGCGCGGCGGTTAAGCGCTGCCGACCAGTAGGCACAAAAATGCTAAGCAGCCTGCCGAGCAGCGGTGCGATCCGGCCGGCTGCGGTCGGCGGTGGCCAGAGCCAGCCACTTCCCGGAGATCCACTTATCCTGTTAACTGCGGACCGGGCGCCCCGAGCTCCGCCGCCGGCCGGCCGGGCGGCGAGTCTAATCGCGGTACTGCCGGCCCGACGGGCGACACGGGAGGCAGGGGGACGTGTACTCACCATCTTGGCCAACAGCTTGCCGTAGGTGAGGTGGGCAGGCACATGGTCCGGCTTGACGCGCAGCGCCTCGCGGTACCAGTGCTCGGCCTCCGCCAGACTGTCCATCTTGAAGTACGCCTCACCGAGCATGTTGTAAAGGCTCTGCCGATCGGAGAAAGCGGAACGAATCCTCTGATTTCATGGAATATCGGTGCAGATGGAGAGATAAAAGATAAAATTGTCTGCAGTAGATCGAAGGACACTGACAGGGGATAACCAGCAGATTTTGTGGGGTTTCTGCGCTGCACCGGGGTTCCAGTAGCAGACCAAACATGTGACCGATCGGCAAATAATCCCGGAGATGGTCGATGAAAAATATAAAGCTGGCCAGATTACAACAGTACATATACTCTGCGCCGTGGCCGCTACCACAGAAGTTCGTTATCACGTTTGACAAGTGCATCAAGGCCCATCGCATCATAACATCTCTCTGTAATCCGCTTGGATGAGGTAAGCCACAGGCATCGGGAATGTTTACGAGTTCTCACCACGGATTTATCTGCCTACTGTTGATGTTCGGCGTACAGAGAGATTTACTAAAACACGGAGCTTTCGTGACGGATACAGAGGACCGAATGGAACGGTTATTCCGTCATGGTCACTGGCCAGACAATGACGAACACACCTGTACAAACAAATGCCACTTGAATGTTAACATTTTCACCTGTAGTGCACCTAATCCATATAACTGCTCATCTTTGACAAAATTATATCCCATCCCTCTCCCGGGAACACACCCATTGAACTGGTAATTAAGCAACCCTCTCTCCCATTGAACCTACCTGCGGCTGATAGTGCGGTGGCATCCGTTCGATAGCCTCCTGGTAAACGGCGATCGCCTGGCGAAACTGGCCCTCGTCGGCGTGCAGCCGGCCCAGGTTGAACAGCGCAGATATTTTGGTGGCCTCGTGCGTGCGCGGGTCCTTGAGGCCGGCGCCGTCCAGCGTGGAACAGTGCCGGTAGACGGCGGCGGCAGCGTCCCGCTGACCCGACAGGCCCAATACTAGGCCCTTGTTCAGGTGCGCCACTGCAGGTCACGCGCGGTGAACGGTCAGGAATCTGAATGCTGCATCGCGTGGTGATGACTGATGGGTACACTGGACAGCTGTGCAATTTTGAATCGGAAAAATAGCCAAATTATGCAATAAAAATGGAAACTTAGATACATAATGTTACAAGTTTTCCTCGGGCGTTGTCAGCTGTGTTCGGTTACGCATGTGTCGTGTTGGCAATGACAAATGGTTGCGTGCATGACAGTGACATTTCCCCTGCGCATACTCACTGGCCATCCTTGGTCGGTACTGGATTGCCTTGTCATAGGACTGCAGCGCCTCGTCGTACCGCTTCTGTTCCTGGTAGAGAATGCCCCTAGGAACACAGACATCGCCGTCAATCTACCGATCTACCGCAGACGTCCACGAGTTGTTAATTCTGGGCTCGAGTTTTGAGAAACGAGTCACTCCGGTCCCGACCATGACACAGACCAGCCTTCCAGTCGTGAGGCCCCCGAACAAGCGACAAGCTATTAGTGAGATTTCATGTCTCGATGAAGCGGAATCAGGATTTATCGTCAATCACTGGCTGATCTGCTTTCTGGTAACCGAGTTTGCAGATACACGTCTGATTGCGGCCGGTAACAGCACAAATCGGGAAACTCGGATCAGCCGTCCGGCCACCAGAAGCCATTAACAGCTCGGGGAATGTCGGCCCGTGGCGCGCGGCGCCGACCGCTCAGGAAGTCAGGCGCCGCGCCCGGTAGCGCTGTCGCCCGCGTGTACCGCTCCCGTTTCCCGGTGTCGCGGCGGCCAGATAAGGCGCACAGTCGGCCGCTGGCGGTCACCGGTCGACGGCGGCGGCAGCGCGGACATGACGCGTCCCCCGCGGAGGCCAATTAGACGGCTAATTAGTGGCCAGAAGTCGGCCGGGAGACGGACAGAGCGCAGCAGCGACAGGTGGGCACGGATAGACCACCTGACGGCAGCGCGCGGGACCGCGGCTGGTGCACCCACTGGCCCGCGGTCCTCTCAGCTCCCGGACACAGAATAACCATCCAAAGGGAGATTGACGGTCGGGAACGGCATGCGAGAGCAGCTACGGTATGCGGACAAAGTGCGGGACCTACATGCTCTCACTGAATTCACAGCATACGAGTACACTGGCATAGCAGACTTTCATAAACCGCTAGCACAAAGAGGATGTAGTTACGTGTGATCGAAATTCGAAAATACATACATAGCAAGACCACATGTGCAAAAAGACCACATACATATGTAACCCAGCCCAAAGTGGTCCTGACGGTACCATATACATCTTTAGATCTGATGTAGATCTATTCGGGGCGCCCTGAAGCTCTCATAAGCAAATTAATATGCAATTAAGTTACATAGTCAACCCTGCAGTGTTTCTAATGTACTCACAGGTTGTAGTGGACGTCGGCCATGTTGGAACGGTGCGAGAGGGCCATCTTGTAGGCCCGCTCGGCCTCCTCCTTCATCCCGTTGGAGCTCAGGATGTTGGCCAGGTTGCCGTACGCTGTCGAAAGGAACACATTGGGGTCAATCTTAACGTCAAACGTCTGGGTTCCAGGGCAGCAGAACGAAGAACTTTCTGCATCAATCATCTGCTCCTCTTCTAGTCAGACTGCAATCAGAAGTCCAATATCCATAAATTTAATAAATGTCGACATATTTTGATGAAAATAAAAGTACCTTCTACAGGGTGAAAACAAAAGCACCTTCTACAGGGTGAACCTGTAGCTTCTACCTGTAGTGAAATAGTATTCCAGTGTATCCAGTATTCGTACATAACAAGTAGAATGTTGACTTGCCTATTTAAGGAATTTCATGATATTTATATTCAAAATCACACTATCAACACAGCTTTTAGGCACGTTGATGCAGGTAACTGGATGATTGTCTTACAATGAGGATTTACCACCGCGTGAGGTCAGTTATTTCAGAGCGGATTAAATCGGTGTGGCCGTCGGTATATTCCTTATTTGAACACATTCATTCGGGATAATTTTTCATGATAACCCAATTTCACCCCGCCTTTGCATCGTCTTTTGCACCCTAGTGACCCGACCCCGTTTCCCGTTGCTGACAGTGCTAATGTTTTCTATGTCGCATATACATTTCATGTTAACATCCAGAGCCCTTCACATAAGTTAAAGCAGCGTGTTTTAAACCCTTCGCGCCCGGCTGAAAGCTTCGTTTTGTGTGAATAGTGCCTAACACAGCGTGTTCATTGCCCTCTGCGCACCACTGCCAGCTCACCCTGCCAGCTGTGCCATGGACAGTGCGCGCAGCTCATAGTTAAACATGAGCGGCGGCTGTGCCGAGGGGCGCAGATGAGGGCGTCGCCGTGCCGCGTGCACCGTCCGGCCGCCATGTCCGCGGCCGGACGGACGCGGCGGTGGCAGCGGCGATCCATCGCTCGCGGCCCATATCCCCGTCCGAATTATCCCGCTAAGCCGGGCCGCTCCGCTAGTAATTGGCGTGATAAATAGAGGCGGGAATATCTCAATGGACGATCGGCGTCGGCCGGGCCTGGTGGCTGGCGGGTGCAGCCGCCGGTGCGCCAGATTGGCCGCAACGAGCCGCAACTGTGCACGGTGACTGGGAGTCGGTCGGCGTCCAGATATGAGTTATGGCCGACCGGGCTCTGAGCTATCTATAGCCGGACAGAAAGGGATGCAAATGTCCGCTGAGTGGTACGCTTTGACTTATATGTCACAGTTCATTGCAGTGAAAATATGTCTGTTCAGTCTGTTTCGAAAATGAACTGAATGAATGCTTCAAATTTTGAAATTTATGACATGTGACAGTTTGTGGATACACGGCACTGAAAGAGTCTCAGGTAACTAATCGTGCTTTACAAACAACAGGTCTACGAACTCAAGAATTGGCGCAGTTGTCTTAAATTGGGCAAGCCCGGCACGAAAAGACTTTCAAATGGATCCGCTTAATGTGTCTCGACCTCATACAAACAAATCTGTAGATCTCCACGTAATCAATTTTTCATGACGTTTAACATCTACAGGCTATACAGTTGAACAGACATTGATTTCAGGCGACTGATCGGTAAATGAGGAAAATGGTCGAAAAAGGGCATGTTAATCAATGTGCAGCAGGTCGCCAGTCGTTCTGTGATTCCCCAGACATTAAAAATCAGGAAAAATTTCGCTTGCACGCCAAGCCTGTCGATGCCGAGCAGGACATACATTTCACTGGAAGTCATGCCACAAGGACACAAATACGCCCTAAATTTCCATCGCCCATTGGTCGGGTACCTGTCTTATGATGTCACTGCAGCGAAGAACGACTTTTACATTGGATTATCCAGAAACTATTTGATGAGCGACCGATAATGGCAGCAAACCGATGAATCGGTAACATAAAATGCCTGGCGAGCCTCAGTGCAGAATCGCCAGTGGTGCAGCCTATTGATTGCACTTGTCAACTTTACACACGTTAACTTTCATGCATTGAAATTCCGTCATTCCGAGCTAAAAAGAAAATGTTCCGTTTTAGAAACACACGTGCACCTGTGTTTCCCTCAATCACAGACTCGATCTCATAGTAGCTCCTTGTTTTCAATTCTCTCACATCCCAGATAAATATATAATGTACTTGACAACTGACTTCTTAAAAGCTGTTTAACAATAAGGTCAAAACGAACATTTAAAGGAACCCCATTTAACCGTCGCCGCTCGATATCTCCCTCCCCTGCAATGAACACATTAGGCCGCTAATCGATTGCAAGCTCTCATTAATGCACGATAGTTCGGCTCGCCCCGTGTGACCTGTCAGCGGGCCATTTTTACCCGGATCGAGGTGGAATGAGTGCCGCTTGTGTAATGAGCGGCCGTGCGCCTGCCGGCTGGCGGCTCCGCGTCACCATGCTAATGTGGCCCAGCCCGCCACTCGGCGCCTGATGAGTGTCCCCTGATTACATCGGGGCCACGGATTACACGACTGCAGTGTCCCGGCTCAGCCCGCCGCGGCACCGGCTGAGCTCTAACAATCCTCCTTAGAGTGGCGAGCTTCTTCACTGCGCCGAGTATACCTCATATGCTGGCCTTAAACCTAAAGCACTGGTGTGTTATCAGGTGCTCGTATACAAATTAAAATACATAGGCGTTTGTCTTAATTGTCATCGACCTATTATAGAATTCGACTACTATCCTTTTAGCCGCCATGTCGTGTAACTGCATGACCTCGAATAAACACGGTTTGTCTCTCAGTTCAGGGTAACTTCGCTACTTATTTTACTTTGGACCAGTCGGCCATTGAGCCGGATTCTATCCATCCCCATGGGGATGGATATGGATGGATGGTCTATGCATAGACCACCAGCCGTCCAATGGGACTCACCTTTGGGCGGGTTGACGGCGATGCCCGATCTGTAGAGTCTCTCCTCTGTCCTCCAGTCCAAGTTTCTCACATATGTGCGCGCTGTGAGAGCCACCAACAGCGCCACAGCCAGCGCGGTAACCAGCGCACGGCCTCGCCGGCCCAGTCTGGCCCGCACCGCCCGAAACCCGGCGGCCACCAGCAGGCAGTAGCCCATCGAGGGCACGTACAGCACCCGCTCCGCCACCACGAAGCCGACGTAGAAGAACAAGTTGGAGGCGGGCAGGAAGGGGATGACTAGCAGCGCGGCCCCGAGTATCACAGCGTCCAGCTGGCCGCCGCCGCCGGCCGCCGACGCCGCCGACGACTCGGACTCGGCGTCGGAGCCGGCGGCGTCCTGGGTGCGCAGGTAGGAGCGCACGCGCTCCACGTAGTAACAGCGCCGGTCGGCCTGCAGTTGGGTGAGGACGGAGACGGCCAGCGCGGCGGCGCCGGCGTACAGCGCCAGGGTGAGCAGGTTCCGCGGGTCGGAAAGGGACGTCACCAGCGGGATGGCGTCCATGGACCAGTCGAAGCTCAGCGTGCTGGGGCAGAGCAGTAGGCCCAGACTGACGGCCGGTAGGTGCAGGAAGGTGAGCGTGCGCACCAGCAGCGAGTCGCTGTCGGCGGCCGGGTTATCGGACGGAGAGAACTCGGGCGGCCGAGAGCCCATCACCAGCAGCCGGACCGAGAGCAGCACGGCCGACATGGCCACCAGCAGTGCGGGGCCCTCCAGCACGCGCCGGTACCGCTGTAACGAGACGGGGCACACACAGAGTCAGTGGAAGGACGAGTGACGAGAGGGGAGTGCAATGCAGATCGGAGAGTTAGACGGTGTGTGACAGTCGATGAGAACATGTCAATTCAACTTTGGCTCTCCAGCGGCCATATGAAGTCATGAATTGTCGGCTAGTCGGTGGTCATCGTTTTTCATATAAGAGAAGGCTGAGACGAAGATGGCGAGGATTGGTGGCGAAAAACACAGCACTTTACTCAGGGAGGACAGCAGTGGATACAAGATTCATGAGATTCATCGGTTCTTTTACGGGTGTTAAGAGACTGGAGAAACATGAGGATTTTCTACATGTATGCATGAAGTCATCAGAGCCCAACAGATCTCTGAAGGAAACATAACAGCTGGGCATTTCAATGATTTTCACTTTATTTGCTCGTATAATTCCACCATTCAATAAGCATTCCGATTTAATTCCGATTATACCTATTGACGGTCAACCATTATTTTGATGTCATATGTAAAGCAGCCAGGATAAAAGCTGTGTTTTTGTTTAGCAGCCTAAGGGACGCTTTTTGATTCAGTTGAGCGTTTGTCGTGAGTTTGGCACTGAGCACTTGAGCGGTTTCCGGGGTGTTTAGAGTTCAGGTTGCAATATCCCTGACAGCGTTAGGTGAACTGAGTGACCCCCGGAGAAGCTCTGTCCACGTGTGACTCCGTCATGAGTTGGCTGCACCAGCTATACACGCCCTATCGATGGCTGTATCGTCAACAGTACACGTGCTTTAGGGCACCGTGCAAACACCCGAGCGCTTCTGTTTGACCGATTCATCAGGCCTGTGTGCATACATAAGCAGAGCAAGCGGTATCCGATCGAATACAAACGCTTGAATGGGAAATAGGTGCTATGCTTCTGAGCAACTGAAGAATGAAGAGCAATCCAGATAATCCTTATGATCACGCGGGAAATTTTTCAGCAACAAAATACACAACCATCGACCCGAAATGTTGAAATATAGACATTTGCATAAGTAAGGGTTCAAGAGCTGGCAGCAAAGCTGCTATCAGCCCTTCACTAAACATAAACTTGTCAAATATCATCAAATATTATATAAGGCGCTCAGGGTTATGAGAATGATGAGCGCAGCCGAAACATCCCGTAGACCGTTTAACAATGCGGCGTCTCCCGATTGTGATTGATACGAGCGGCAGCGAAAAAATGGCCGTAGATTATACTGCTCCGTCAGTTTTACGAGGGTGTCTGGCGGCCGGCGGCACCCCTTTCACCACCGCGTCACTCCCCATATGTATCAATACCAGCCTCGCAAAAGGCATCAATAAGCACTATGCAGCTTTTACGAGCGCGCTGAAGGTGCAACAGTAGTTAAGCATCGATGATAGATGACCGGCATCCCAGTGATGTATTTTTCATACCTCGGCGCGACCGTATCTCGGCACGACACCTGCCCAAATCGCCGGCGACATCGCGCTCTCTCGGCACTCGGCCGGCCGCTGCAACGCGCCGCGGCTCGCCGCAGTGCGCCGCCGATCGCCGCCGAGCCAGAAGCGGCGCGGAAGGCCGACGTCATCCATCACGGCTTTGCGGTAGAATATCATGAATAGCGCGGCCGAGCGGGGCCGGTCGGCCCGCGCGCCGCCGCCGCCGCCGCCGCCGCCGGCAGGGCGACACCATCGGTGTGAGATCGCCGCCGCCGCGCCGCGTCCGTCATCGCGCCATCAGCGTGACGATGTGACGGTGTCGCCTGTCAGGCGTCTCCGTCGGGCCGGACAGCGGCGCCGTGTCGCGGCCGTGTCCCGGCGCCATTAGGTGGCTGCAGGGGCCTTCTGAGGGCAGCCTGCCGCCCCTCCCCGCGCCCCATACAGACGGATGTCAGTCGCCCACAGTCCCGGGTGTCCCAGATAAGGTGTCGGCTTCGAACGGCGCGCCAAATATGGCTCCGAGATCGTCAGATGCGGGAGAGGAGTAAATTTATCCACTGGATATCAGCTGTCTATAAATACTGAACCCGCACGAAAAAGTTATTTCGGGACCGGCTCATTCCCTATTTTTGCCGCGTCATTTGTCTAAGATTAAGTAAGCTCGGTAACGGTGTGTATTCCTTTTACATATTACAAGCTGCTTTTCAGAAAAAAAAAACTCTTTGATCTGTGATCCTAAGCAGCTTGACACTTTGCACGGAAGTCGGTAGGTACTCGTCAGGTGCGGACAATCTTGCGATTAACATGCAGATATGTTGCATTCTACCCTTCACTGGGACCTGACCGACGTCACTATAAAAAGGAAGCTTTTGTGCCGACTAGTTAATCATAGGAAACCCAACGAATGGGACGTCAGCCCGTCCTTTTGATATGATCACAGCGAGCTCCCGAGAAGGCTCAGCAGCTCAGTGACGCAATGGGACAATGTCCCCAGTCTGACCCTGAACACTCGAAACACAACATGGGTCACAACTTCACCGCGCATCACGCACCCATAACCCGTCATCATTCTCAGCCCAGAGGCCGCCGTACGCCGCTAATTTGATAAATGGTGTTCAGTCTTCGCGAGTTGATGGATGAGCGCGGCGACCTGTCGGTTTTGGAGGCATTCCTGGCCACGAGTTTAAGACATTAACCATCTCGGCGCGGCCGGTGACGATCCGCGCACCTCGGCGCGGCGGGCGCTGTCAACACGCGGTGTCGCTCGTTTATTTTGTGTGCATTCCAGCCGGCATCAGCGCGCCGTGGTGCCTAATTGGGTATTTGCCGAGTGGCGAGGCGGTGCAGCCGACCAGCCGCGTGATGCGAGCGGCGATATGACGTTTGATCGATTACCAACAATGCAATTATACAGATAAGGCTGTCATTCAAACGAAGCACAGAAGTAAAAACAGGTAACACTTCTCAATGAATGCATGTGATGCATGTGATGTTATGCTGCACGGGACATTATCTATCTGATCAACACAAGTGAGTAAACGGATGACAAGGTGAAATGATTGCGATGCTTGGGCAAATTAGAATTATGTTTGAATATCGCAATTCGTGAAAATAGGCATATTTTAAACGAAGCCGACTTTCAACGGCCACCTATAAGGATATCTTTATCATATCTGAATATACAAAAAAGCTTGATCATGAAGATTCGAGACATTATTGTTTATCCCTTCCTAGCAAAATGAATAAATAAAACGAACAGACAACGCAAACGCCAATGAAAAGGAAATATAAATCTATTAGTTATTACAGTCACTTTATGATGCATCCGTAACCGTTTAAAGTCGGCCTAACATCCGTAGGTCCGGAAAGACTTCACCTGCCGGGCTCGTAACAAAAAATTAAATAGTCTCGGTATGCCTATCTCAAAATGTGGATTAAATGAACTAACAGTAACAGTTGAAGCGAAAACAGAACTGCTATACAAAGAGTTGTTTGCAAGGCAGACAACTCTTATTCCTCTCGTAAACACACATTGCCATCCAGAGCTGTCCATGAAATAATAATAATAATCATAAAATGCAACCGGTCATTTTTCGGGTAGACTTACCGCTGAGAAGAATTGTGAAAGATCTCTCGTGGTGAGTTTGTTGTATACTAGCAGGTCGTACACCACACAGACGCCCATGACTGTGATGCCATGCTCTTTCGTGAGCATGGCAGCCGCGGCGAGGACAAAGCACGCCAACAGATGTCGCCAGTGTCGCGGCGGCGGCGGCAGTGGCGCCGCGTGGTGGTGACCTGACGCACTTCCATTGCGCAGCGCGGGCCGCACGGTGTCGCGAGCGTCACGCTGCCGCAGATATCGCCCGTACGCGGCGAAACTGAGGAGGAACAGGACGGCGGCGCCGACGTCGGCACGTCCCACCACGCCGGCAACAGCCTCCGTGTGCACGGGGTGCACGGCGAACAGCAGCGAGCCGAGCCAGGCGGCCGGCGAGGCGGCGCCCAGCAGCTGCGCGCACAGCTGGCCGAACAGGCCGCAGGCCAGGCAGTGCAGCAGCACGTTGACCAGGTGGTAGCCCCAGGGGTGGAGGCCGCCGGCCAGGTAGTTGAGCCGGAAGCTGAGCACGGTGATGGGCCGGTAGGACTTGTGCGAGCCGCTGTGGCTGAGCGGTGTGCCCCAGAAGTCGTCCCGCAGCAGGCTGGAGAGCGGCGTGCTCGGTAGGATGTCCGGGTTGGTCTTGATCGCTCGGCTGGGAACACAGATGGCGAGACGGGTCAGACATGGAGACTCATAGGCATGGAGCGTCACTTCGAACGTTTGGTCTCAGGCTCCCATTGAGTTTTGAGAACAATTTGGTGACAAGACTCGTTCGAAGCATTGTATTTGGTGCCCTCGGGAGAAAGTATTCTACATGGCTATAGAAACGTTACAATTACGGTTAAAATGGCTTCAACAAACCGTGAGAAAAATGTCAGGGAAGGAACGTTCGGCAGAACTGGATGGAGCCGTGCACTATACTCAAAGCAGCTCCGAAAGGCACTTAGTGGTTGCGGCACCATCTGAACGAACGGCTCGGCGAAACAATAAGCTGCTGTCTGTTGCAGCTCCTAATCAGCACCATGGGCCGGCTAATGTCAGAGACGAGCCCGCTAAGTACGGCCGTCGTGTTTCGCCATTCGTCACACACCGATCTCAAATCGGCAACGGCTCCCGGAATTAACCCTTCCCAGAAGGAGTCCGCTCGTGGCGCCCCGGTGCCGTGTTGCGCTGGCCTAAACGGCCGTAAACCGCCCGTTACGGCGGCCAAATGTCCCCCGCCAAGCCCCGATCAAAGCTGGTCGGCGGTCGTAAAGTCGGCGGCCTTATTTGGTTCCATACGTCTCATTTCACACTAATTTCGCATAGCTGAGTGATGGTCGCGCGCAGGCTGTGCAATTTGGCAAGTGGGGATGCTTGTTGAGTTGGTAACTTGGTAGAGCAATGCGTTTCGAAAGCATGCGTCATTTATTGCGGTTTTCCGGTGGACAAATAAGTGGATAATTATTTAGCAGTCAATTGTCATTGCTTCTAGTGAGCTCCTCTTTAAATCGATGAGCAAAGTACCTGAAAATTTACTTTATCGTCTTATCAGCTTTCATGGACATGATGCAGACAGACTATTTTAGAATGCCTGAATTAGTTCACCCGTCAAAAGGGTGACTCCGATAAATATTTTAAAACCACGCACCGTCATCGGCGATTTATGGGAATGCTGACACTCGACACGGTACGATAGTTCAGTGCCTACTATATAGTGTCACATTCGACGCAAGGCTGACGTTAGCCGCACCGATCATGCCATATCAGCCAACCCGTCCGTCGACATTCTAGCCTAGCGACTCTGTGCTGCGACTATACAGCTCCCCTTGTGACGGACCAGGCGACATCGTGCGACCAGGCGCCCCCCTCCCCCGCGTGACAGTCCTTGTCACAGCCCCTCTGTGACGGTCGTGTCACACGCCCACGAGTAGCGATGATTAGTGGCCCTGTGTCGGTGGGCCAGCCGCCTCGGCGCTCACCGGTTCTCACGGGCGCGGCCATCTTGGCTGGCGAGGCAATGACAGCTCTGCGAGTCGGGTTCACACGCCCCCGAGTTGGTGGGGGCGGCCGCAGCCCGCCGGCGGCTCGTCATTTGCGGTGACACGGCGCCGACAAATTGGCCCCTTCGATGACACACCGTGTCACCACTGCCGGCGTGGAGTGTGGACACGCCGGAGTGGATGGAGGAACTCGCACCGGGGATGTGTGAAAGTTGGGGTTTCTCGAACAAGCTTTGGCTTCAGCTCTTGAGGGCAATACAGATTATAGATATAGCAGTTGAATTGTTAGAGAATTTGGTTATTACACCCATGTTATGAAATAAAATGTATTTTAAAATGTCTTATGATAAGCCGCTTATTTTTTACATTTAGGTACACCTAAACTCTTAAAGCTTAACGTCATACTTTTTAATCAAAGAAACACCTGAATTTCGAAAGTGAACAAAAAAGCAAATCATGATGGGCAGGATGACCGATTTGAACAAAAATGGCTAGTTAGCATCGGATAAAAGGCGTTATACCTCATACTTTCATCATAAATATGGGTACCTAAATGGGTAGCCTATACATCTACTAGAGTCGGAAATGGCCATGCCGCATCCATCGCAGCCCTTAAAAAGATCGCCTCGGGCGCGTATTTCACAGAGCTCCCGCTGACGTGGTAAACAAAACTGTTAGGTCGGTCCACTGCGGCCGATATCTCGCAGCCGCGGGCACCGTTCTGCGTATCAGCGAACATAATTGTTATTTTACGATACGGTAATAGTGGATAAATATAGCCGGGCCGATAAAACGCGCCGTCTCGCCTCCATGCAGCGATTAGAGCGTTTCCTGCGCGCTGCTGGGTAACGGTCACGGCGCGGCAGAGCGGGGGCGATCATCACTGGAGATGCCGTCTCCATCGGACGGGGTAAACTGAGCAGCGCTGTCCGAGACGGACGGATTGACAACGAGCAGCGCTGTGGCACTGTCAGCAACAGGCCAGTTGAGTAGCACCGTCTGAGACGAACGGATTGAGCAGTGAAGTGACAACGCCAGTCGCGGACGAACTGAGCAACACCGGCTGTCACGGGCGAACTTAGCAGCGCAGTCGGTCTCAGGGACAAACCGAGCAGTGCTGTCCGACATCCGTGTCGGGCACCCATAAGCCTCGGTACTCTTGCCGTGGATTTGGTCGCGGCCGCTGCCGCCACCAGAACGGCCACCGCGTTACCCACGAGGGCCCGGGTCGCACCCGACCGCCGACCGTCGGATGCCGCGGTGCCGACACGTCGGTACACAGTTGCTGATTTGCGGCAGCCGGCAGACATTATGAGTTTCGTGAATTAATTACAGACATCCGTGCAGTCCCCGGCAACAGAGGAGAGTGGCGGCCGGCGGCGGCGGGGCGGCCGGCACGGCGCGGCACCGCCAGGCCGACCCGCACTGAGAATCCATCATCTAACTGGCAGTCTTCACGCGACCGAACCCTAACGACCGGGGTTCACACAACGTCTGGCCTTGGTGAGCCGGTACCAGGGCGGGGTGTTCAGGGAACTCTGCCTCGGGCGCCAGCAGGGCCGGCCCCAGCGCCACACAGACGGCCAGCGTTTCGTGTCCCTGCACAATTATCATTTGGGACGGAAATTCGTCTGTCGGCAGTTCTGGAAGAGGCATGCAGTGCAACCGCCGGGTGTTGTAAAAGTAATGATGCTGCGCCCAGTCGTAAATTCGAGATCGAGTCGGTACGGGTGGCGAGGCAATGCGCGGATGGTGGCTCAGGAGAATGGACCACACTGCCACTTATCCTAACCGCCGCCAACTCGAGAGAGGAGACCGCGTGCGGAAACTGCGCCAATTACAGCCGCATTTCATCACCGTCCGCGCCTCCGCTGCCACCAGCGCTGCCGCCGCCGCCGCCATCTCCGAGAATCGGCGACGAGCAGCGGCGCGGAGCTGCAATTTGCGGCGCGGCGGTCGGCTTGCATGACGGCCTGCCATCGGCCATCGCCAGGCCGACCGCGCCGCGCCCATTACTCTCCATTATCAGAGGTTTCCCGACCTGATGCTCAGCGCGTCACGTGACCTGCCGTTCAGCGCGTCACGTGACCCGGCCAGCCGGCATCACGTGACCTTCGGCCGACATCACGTGACCACCACCCGATCGGCGTGAAAATCGAAAATGGACACATCGGTTACATCAAAGGGCCGGCTGTTGCGGCCGCCACCGCGGCGCGGCGGCTCAAAGCGCGGCGTGCAGCGGCGCGCTGGCGGCAGACATTGAGAGCGCGCCGGCTGATGGGGGTGTCGCCGGCGGAAGTCGACCTGCCGGCTCAGCAGCGGCCGGTAATGGCGCGTAATTGCAGTGTTTTCCGACGGGTAAGTGGGTGGCGTTTTTATTGCAGCCGCCCGGCATGTTTGCGTTTCCGACGGGGACAAAAACGAGACAAATTGGCGCGACACTGAGCCGGTGTCACCGTGCCGGCGAGAGGAAGGGGCTGAGAGGACGAGAGACGTCGGGGAGAGGAGGCGAGAAAAGGGCAAGACGTCGAGGAGAAGAGAAGATCAAGATGGGATATCGGAAAAGGACCACCAGATGCGGAGGACTCCGAGGAGACTCCTGGAAGGCTCCAAGTATATTTCAGGGAGACTTCGTGCAGCCTTGAGAGTGAGGGACAGGAGACGCTGAGAAACCGGATTTGAGGTCGGTGGAAGAGACGCCTGGATAGTTAGACCCTGACTTCCGTTTGAAGTCAGCATCTGTGATGCTGATGAGGAAACTGACAGTTTTGGAAGTTATCAATATCCCCTCCGACATTTTTTATTACACGTCGATCGTGATGCCGCAAGGCAAAAGCACCTTGTCCACCTTGTCCTGTCCACCTTTTTCCGCCATCATCCGTACCCCATTCATTTTGTTGAAAACCATTCCAGTGTCCTCTCCACACCTGCCCAGCTCAGTTCAGGAATCACCGGCATCCCTCCGGCATCACGTCCGCAATCGAGCGAGTGACACCACTCAAAACAGTTCATTCATGTCGGACCGGTGGGCTGTCACCATAACTCATCTGGGACGGGCGGGCGCCGCGGGCGGCGGGCATGACAGTTGACAGACCGCCACCCGCGCCGGCACGCCGCCGACGCCGGAGCCGTGGCCGCGGTGGCCGGGCCCACTTTATATGCGCTGCACCGGCGGCGGTGACCGACAGCAGCGGCGGGGGATGGCGCGGCGCCGGCACCGCGCCGCGCCGCTCCATTGTCATCGGCGACCATCCATAGCGGTCAGCGATCGGCCGGCGGGCGCGCCTTTTTGTGCCGCTTTTTACGCGCGCGCGCGGATCCCGCCGTAAGTGCAAACAAGCGTCCTCTGCGGCGACAGTGAACGCTGCGCTGAGCGACCGGTACGAACGGGAAGGCGCGACACAGACGACGGCCGCGGCGCCGCGGGTCCGCCGCCTCCCAGCGCACATTCCGAGCTCGGGGACGACAGTCGGTGACACACCAGGGAAATAAGCTAAAATTAGAGCGCTCTATTTATTGCTTCCGCTACTTCACCGTCTCCCATAGGGTCCTGTGTTGAGCTGGTGTCGAGGCTCTAAAAATGACGCCGATTTTTGCACCCTTCTCACGAAAACCGCTCGGACCGCCTGGAAACTAATTGTTCCGCTCTAAAAATTTCATGATCGACGGG